TTTGAATAAGTGACTTATGTCTCGTTCGGCAGATTAATATTATAGTCAAAAAGTTAAAAAGTTATTAAAAAAAGTTAAAAAGTCAAAAATTTTCTTTTCTATTTATTTTTTACACATTTTTTTTATAAAAAGTCAAAAAATTATTCTAAACATACTAATTTTTTTATCTCATATTTTAATCAAAGAACTAAAATTTACTAAAATAGTATGTCTCAAACGAGGCCTTAGAGTGTTTTAAATATGTAAGCAGTACAACTTGCAAGAGTTGAAGAGTTTCGGAAAATTGTTTCAATAATGTACAGCCTAACAGATTCTTCATATATACACAAATATGTATCTAATATTCATAGATATATCCCTCACTTAATTTTTTTTTAAATGAGCTAGATACATATTTAAAATACTGTAAGTGACTTACTCAAAATATTGTAATAATATAATAATATAATATAATATAATAATATATATAATATATATATATATATATATTATATATATTTATATATATAAACAAATGTAGTGGAGTATGAGAATTCTTCAAACTCTTAATACTAAATTATTATGGATTCTCTCTCCTATGTGTCACTTTTCAAGTCTTCCCTCCCACTTTTCTTAATTTTTAATCATTTGTCAATTATCTAAATCTCAAAAGCCAAAAGGATTATATATATTTAAATAAAATGATAAATATTTAAATATGAGCAACAAAGAGGTAGAGATAAAAATATAAAATAAATAAAATAAAAAGATAACTATTCAAATTTCAACTACAAAATAATATAAAGAGTCAAATAAAAGATAAAAATAAATAAATAAATAAAAAATATTACGAGTCAATTAATTATAAAAATAAAAAAGTTAACTATTTATATATGAACAATTAAAAAAAATTTAAATAAAAAAATATTACGAGTCAAATGATTTTTAAAATAAAAAGGTAATTATGTATATATGAATAACAAATAAATATAGTTGAAAAAAATATACAAAAATAAAAATATAACTATTTAATGAAAATTCAAATAAAATAAGATTGGGATATAAATATCCCAAAAAGATGATAATTTTTTTTAACGATCTATATTTATCTTTTGTTAGTTTGTTATAGAATTTCTATATATTTTAACTTAATCTTTTTAAAGTTTATCTTTAAGTGGAACTTAATATCTTATCTTTTAAAATCATCAATTACTTATCCATACAAATTTTAAACATGATAGAATTCCATATATATCTTTTGTTTAAACATAATCTTTTTAATATAAAAACAAGTTCCTGCAAAAGAAACCATGAATAGAAAATTGGGGGGAAAACAGTCAACATTGAGTCATTTCTGATCCCTTTTCGGTGCCTAAAAATCTTAAATATTTGCTTTATATTTGAAATGTGTACTTGCATGAGTTTTTGCATTTGTAAGAAAGTGAGTTCATATAAATGAACATTATTATTTTTTTAAATTTTGTTTTTGTTGCAATCTGTATTTTTCTTTATTTCTTTCTTTTTGTTAATAATTTATCATTTAATTTAGATTTTATTCTTTTTTTTTATTTATAAAAGCACTGCAATTATCAATTTGTAACTCTCTCACTTATTAATTATTTGTGTTTATTTTATTTTTTTTTTGGGTGTAGATGTTAGATTGAAAATGAAGAATCAAAATTTATTGGATATGGGTTATACTTTAAATGTATTCATCAGTTGATTTTTTATTGTTGATTATCCTATTGAAATAATTCATGATTAAATTTATTTTTAGTAACTCATTTCCTTTGAGAACTAAACCATAAATTTCTTCTTTGTTTAAATTATTTATTTATTTATTTAGATTCAGAGTTTGAGCAAATGGAAGATATCTCATATTTAAAATGTTAATTTTTTTTTGAATAATTTAAATATTTATATTCTTTATGTTTGTCAATTCAAGTATAATGCATTTTCAAGCATTTTTTTTAAATTTTTTTTATAATCATTCCAAACCTATTTGTGTTTAATGAATCAATATAACGAAAAGACAAATAGCATGTAAAAAATTTTAACCACCCACTAACTAAATATAATGGGAATTAAAATTAATTTTATTTTAATTTATTATATTATATGAGATGATTACTGTAATATCTACTATTGACTAAGCAAAATTAGTGTTACTTTTATTTAATATATTAGTCATTTTGATTAATTATAATATGCCTTTGTTACTCTACTTTTGGTTTTCTGAAGTAATTCTTAGATAAATTAGCTATTATATATGTGATGATTTACTAATGTATGATACTTTTTTAAAATTTTTAATAATGTGAAATATTAAATATTTTTAATGATGTGAAATAAGATTTATATACACAAACCAAATAAAAATATTAAGAAATATAAACAAATAGCAAATTTTTTTATAGTAATTTTTGATTTTCTAAAATCCTGTGCATCGCACGGGTGACCACTAGTATTGTAATAATGAGATTGTAATAATTCTTGTATAATGACGTCTCAATATTTGGAGACCTGGGTTTAAATAAGGGATATTTATTAATAAATTTTATCTCATAAATAAGTATTTTAATTAGTTTCAATTTTTTTTTTTTATTGATCTATTATGTCCTATTAGTGGAGAGTTACTTTCCATGTAGTTCTATTTTTTATTTCGGTACTGTTTTTGTGGACAACTATATCATTTTATTAATGTGACAGGTATGATCTGATACTCCAGTGTGGCAGATATTAATGTAACACTCTAACGATGTGACACTCAAAAAAAAAAAAAAAACTCCTAAGTGTACTTTCCTTAAATGTGACAACGTGGCGGGTATGATGTGACACTCCAAAACTTTTATTCTGAAAAAAATAAAAACTCCTTAGTGTACTTTTTCCAAATGTGACAACGTGGTGGGTATGATATGAAACTTGAAAAAAAATAAAAACTCCTTAGTGTATTTTTCTCAAACGTGACACCGTAGCGGGTATGATGTGACATTCTAAAAAAAATTAAAAATTCCTTAGTGTATTTTTCCCAAACATGACATGTGATACTCCAACGTGAAGAGTATGATAAAACTCCTTAGTGTACTTTTTTTAAATGTGACAATGTAGAAGTATGATGTGACACCCCGAAACTTTTACTCCTTCCAAAAAAATAAAAACTTCTTAATATACTCTTCCCAAATGTGACAACGTGACAGGTATGATGTAACACTCTAAAACTTTTCCTCCTCAAAAAAATAAAAACTTCTTAATATATTCTTCCCAAATGTGACAACGTGGTGAATATCATGTGACATTTTAAAAAATTTAAAACTCTTTAATGTATTTTTCTCAAATGTGATACTCTAAAGTAGCGGGTATGATGTGACACCAAAAAACTTATTTGTATATTTTTTTCAAATATGACACTCCAATATAGAGGGCAAATGAGTCATTACACATTTAAAAAGACTACATAGATCACCAAAAAAGAAGAAGAAGAAACTATATGTATTATAAGTTCAAAATATCAGACTTATTAGTCAATCTCCCTTTAAATTGTTAAAATAAATTTTTTTTTTTTACATAAATGCACCTAAAAAATAAAATATTTTTAAAAAGAATTCACTAAAAACAAACAAATATGAATTTTTAGATGCATCTAAGTTTTTATCTTATTTTATTTTTGCAATTTATTTAAAGACACTCTAATTTTTAAGTAGATCCAAACTACATTTAAAAATAATTATTTTTGAATAACTAAAAATGTGAAAGTCAAAAAACAATTTTGAGTTCCAAAATAAAAAGATACCCATATGGTGGCCTTTAAGAGCATTACCAACCACTACAACATTTTCTTAGTTTAGTGACATTTGAAAGTGCCACAAAACTATTCTTCTAATGACATTTTTTGGTCTTGTGGCATTTTGAACAAGTGCCACTTCTATCGGTGCCACGGTAGATCTAAAAATATGCCACTAGTGTAGTGCCACTAAAGTATGTTTTTGTTGTAGTGAACCCTTCATTACTTTTTTTTTTTAATATCTAATTTGAATATAAAAAAATTAATTTAATATAAAATATTCTAATCCTTTCATCAAATTTTTATTATAATATTTTTTAAAATTATTCTCTTATCTCAAATTTCACTTTTTATCAAATTTAATAATAATAATAATAATAATAATAATCATTTCTAATATTTTATTTTTGAATTTTTTTTATCAAATTCAAATTTAATCAAAAATTTAAGGACAAATTACTAATACACTTCCTAAAATTTGTTTAAAATATAATCTACCCTTTGTAGTTTTGAAAATTACATCATATTCTATCTCATTGAATTTTTTATATCATAACAAATGACACATTTTATTAATAAATTATCAACTCAATTAATACGAAATGACCTTTGATAAAGCTGTATAGAGAAAAATGATTCATGTAGCCGATCCTATTTGATGAGATTTGGTTTGATTTGATTTGGTTTACCAACTAAATTAATAATTTTCAATGATGTCAAAAATTTATAGTTTTTCAAATTATATAGAGAAATCTGTATAATGGTATTTTGAGAAGTTGATAAAAAATTACTTTTTTATATTTTTTAGTTTATTTAGTTTTTTTATAAATAAAAAAAATAAAAAATGATGTGATTTAGAATAAGTAAGAAATTAAAAATTAACGTTCCATATGGTCGGCAAAGCACCCATTATTTTGGAATGCTCCAGCGGCAGCCCCCGTGTACACGTGGCAACGCTACCCATCTATAACCAGAAGCTAACATAATCGCGCTCGCACGCAAAAATAAAAAATGATTTGGTGCTTTCTGGGAGCCATGTGTGGTGTTCCTCACCAATCACTACATATTTTATTAATTTTCAATCACTTAATTTTGAATCTTATTTCCTCCACCAATTAAAACATTCCTAAAACCCCTCGTGGCTGTACCCAGCATCAGCAAATAACTTCTCAGCAAAAATCACAAACTCCAGAAGAAAACGAAAATGCATAGAAGGTTCTGTCCTGTTGAGCAAAAGTCAGAGCTCACAAAGTCTAGCTTTCCCAAGACACCTGCCAGGATCTCTCTCTCTCTCTCTCTACATACATATATGTACACACTACCCTCTCCAACCAACATTACAACACCCCGCCGTTCCCGGCGCAACTGACGAAAACAAACCCCCCACAAAATCAACGGCTCCAACTGCAGTGTAGCATGACAGAAAACAAAAATCACACTGACACCCGCCGCCTGATCGTCGGCCTACCCACTTTCCCCTACACTGCGAAACACACGATCCTGTGTTTCTCAGTCCTACTCCTTCTATCACCAGCCGGAGCACAGACCCCGCCCCAGCAGCCCTACCCATATGGATACGGCAAATTCAGCCCAAAATTGGCGATCATGATCATGTTCCTCATCGCCGCACTCTTCCTCATCGGCTTATTGTCCATCTACATCCGCCACTGTAACAACACCACCCCCGGCGGTAGCCTCCGCCGCGTCGGCGCCTCCTTGCGCCTTCGTGGCGCCGCCTCCAGGGGTCTCGACCCGGCTGTGATCGACATGTTCCCCACTTTTGCGTACTCGGTTGTGAAGGATCAGAAGATTGGGAAAGGAGCGCTAGAATGCGCCGTGTGCTTGAACGAGTTTGAAGACGATGAAACTCTTCGGCTTATTCCCAAATGCGATCACGTGTTTCACCCTGAATGCATCGACGCTTGGCTCACCTCTCACGTCACTTGCCCGGTCTGCCGAACCGATCTGGTTCCTCAACCCGGTGAGTCCCTTCGAGTCCCCGTGTTAAACCCCGAGTTGGGGAACTCGGTGGAGACTCACCAGAATTCGGAGGTCTCTATTAGGGTTGTTGAAGATCAGGAAGAGGCTCTTCCTCCTCAGGTGATGGACCGGAGTCAGAGTTTGAACCGGAGCCGCCTACCCAGATCGCGATCTGTACGGCCCAAGCTGTTCGGGAAGTTTCCAAGGTCTCTCTCGACTGGACACTCATTGGTGGTTCAGCCTGGGCAAAACACCGACCAGTTCACTCTTCGATTGCCGGAGGATGTGAGGAGACAGGTGATGAACCAGGCGCTGAACCGGACAGCGAGTTGTGTAGTGGCGTTTCCCAGAGAAGGTAGTTCTCGAATAGGCTACCGAACCGGATTTTCCCAGAATCTCAGGCCATTGGACCCGGTCGTGAAATCGGACCGGTGGGTTTTCTCATTAACACCACCGTTCTTTTCCCGGACAGCGTCGATTCGATCCCCAAAAGTCATGGCAGTTGATGATAAAGGATCCACGTCATCGACAACGCCGAAAGGATCGAAGAGTGTCATGAAATTGCCATCATTCAAGCGTATGGACCCAAAGGGTGACGAGACCGGTCGAGAATGGACCGACTCGGGAAAATCTCCGGTTTAACGGTCAATTTTGTGTGCTAATGTGTGAATGATGTTAAGTTGGCAAAGGCTTTGGAGGCAGGCTGGGCCCACCATTGAGGTGGACCAATTCAATTGCTTTGCCCAGCTTTGACTTGGCCTTCACACTTCAATTGCATTTCATAAGAGTATTTGGAGAGGATGGTTAAAAGTAATTTTTTTAATTTTTTAATTTTTTTTATAAGAGTGAAAGTGTGTTAAAAGTTAAAAAAATGAATTTTAATTCACTTTCCAAACTAGGCGAGAGTTAAATTTTTTCTAGATGGGAGTCATTGTCATGACATTATTTTGGACAATCTCAAACTTTGATTTGATTAGGCCTACGATTTAAATGTCATACATGTTTGTACATTCTTTGAAGCTAAAATGTCTTCTCTTTTGAATAAAATAAGCTTGAATCTCCTCGGTTTACAAAGAAAAAAATATTCACATAGTTGAATGTGTTTTCATTGGTTGACTTAGAAAATATGAAAAATATTTTATTCTACACCAAATCATCCATTCGAATTGGTATTCATGTTGATCATTTTTTGTTGCTTTTTATTTTTTATTTTTTATCTTTTATTGGATCCCAATGTTATTTATTTTTTCAAAGAAAATTGTAATCTTTTTGAAAAAGACATTCAAAACCTCATTACAATAATGTGGTAACAATATTTTTGTAATTAAGAATTATTTTTTATGAATTTTATTTTAAAGTAAAAGACTCTTAAATTTGTTTTATTTATATATTATACGTAATGGTTATTAGAATATATTAGAAATCGACTTGGTGGGAGGTATCAAGCTGCCTAAAGAAATGTGCTTCGTTTTAACGTAAAAACAAGTCAAAAAGTAGGAGAGTATTGCGTCCCAATAACAAAATAATCAACCAAGAATCTAAAAATGGAAAAGATGACAACATCTTCCTAAAATGTAGAGAAGAGTTGTCAATGGCAATGGAGCAAACGACGAGGCAGTGAGCGTTGAGCGACAAGCGGAGGAGTTGAAGGGGTAGGTAGAGGGATTCAGCGGCGGCAAGTGGCTAGTGGAGGAGTTGAAGATGATGGCAAAGATTAGGGTTTTGGGGCGGTGATGAAAGGGAAGTTGGGGGCGACGAGATCGATTTGAACAAATTGTATGTAGAGAGAGCGAGATAGGATGATGAGGTGAGAGAGAGAGAGAGAGTTTTGGATAAATGAGATTCAATAGTGGTGAAGAAATGGAAGGAGGAACTCGCGTGAATCAAATCAAGGGTAGTTTGGTTATTTTATATGAAGTTGTCCTTATGGACATAATTATTAGAAATAAACTACTAACAGGTCTTAATAGTTAGATTTAATTCTTATCAAGTTGTATTGAAAATAAATTCTAGTAAAATCATAGTTAAAAATAATTTTTTGTAACGATTTTTTATATATGTTGCTAAAAATTGACAATTACTAACATTTTTCTGTGACGAATTTTTCAAACTGTCGCTGAAAGTTAAAAATTAGCGACTTTTTTTTTTGATGATTTTTTTAAATTGCCGCTAAAACTTGTAAATAGTGACATTTTTTGTGACAAATTTCAAATTGTCTCTAGAAATTAACAATTAATGACTTTTTTAATAGTGTTTAATGAAAAATATCATCAATTATCATAAGACCTATTGGATAATAAGTCCACCAATTAAGATATAGGTAAGTCTTACTAATATTTGAGCGTCTGAACTTTTTGGCAAAAAATATATAAATTTAAATTTACAGACTGAATAGCCTTTTTAATATTATTATTTTAGTTACACAAGTAATGTTTTATATAGATTATTATCAAAGTCAAATATGTATATGAATTTTCAAATTACAGTTGAACTTTCTGTCTTTTTTTCCTTCTAGACGAAAGATACTACAACAGTATGAAATTTTAAATTAAAGCATATTATAACAACTTGAATAACGTTATACACATCAGTTTTAATATATTAATTAATGTATTAATGGATGATATAATATAATTTTAAAAATTTTAGAGTCAATTCACATCTCAAACGAGTTCTTTGTAATTTAAATATTAAGTGAGTCCATAATTTTAAAATAATAATATTGTAATATATATTAATACGTCAATTGATACATGTAACAACTGATTTCATTATTATAATATTTTGAATAAGTGACTTAGTGTATTTTAAATATATAACTAAGTACAACTTGCAAGAGTTGAAGAGTTTCGGAAAATTGTTTCAATAATGTACAGCTTAACAGATTCTTCATATATTCACAAATATGTATCTAATATTCATAGATATATTCCTAACTTAATTTTTTTTTTAAATGTGCTAGATATATATTTAAAATACTCTAAGTCACTTATTCAAAATATTATAATAATGAGATTGTAATAATTCTTACATAATGACGAATCAATATTTGGAGACTTGGGTTTAAATAAGAGATATTTATTAATAAATCTCATCTTACAAATAAGTATTTTAGTTAGTCTCAAGTTTTTTTTCTATTGATCTATTAAGTCTTATTAGTAGAGAATTTTTTTCCGTGTGATCCTATTTTTCATTTTGATAGTGTTTTTGTAGACAGTTATATCCTTTTATTAATGTGATAGGTATGATGTGATACTTCAATGTGGCAGGTATTAATGTAACACTTTAACAATGTGACACTCAAAAAAAAAAAAATTAAAAACTTCTTAGTATACTTTTACTAAATGTGACAATGTGGCGGGTATGATGTGACATTTAAAAAAATTTAAAACTCTTTAATGTATTTTTCTCAAATGTGATACTCTAAAGTAGCGGGTATGGTGTGACACTAAAAAACTTTTAGTATACTTTTTCTAAATGCGATACTCTAATGTGGAGGGCAAATGAGTCATTACACATCCAAAAAGACTAAACGGATCACCAAAAAAAAAATGAAACTATATATATTACAAGTTCAAAATATCGGATTTATTAGTCAATCTCCCTTAAATAATTATAAATTAATTTTTTTTCCCTAAATGTACCTAAAATATAAAATATTTTTAAAATTTTTAAAAAGAATTCACTAAAAACAAACAAATATGAATTTTTAGATGCATCTAAGTTTTTATTTTATTTTATTTTTGAAATTTATTTACAGACATTCTAATTTTTAAGTAGATCTAAATTGCATTTAAAAATAATTATTTTTGAATTACTAAAAATATGAAGAAAAAAAAAATTGAGTTCCAAAATAAATAGATACCCAAATGGTGGCCTTTAAGAGCATTACCAACCCTTCATTACTTCTTTTTTTTTTTTTTTTAATACCTAATTTGAATTTTAAAAATTAATTTAAAAAATTTAAAATATTCTAATCCTTTCATCAAATTTTTATTATAATATTTTTTAAAATTATTCTCTTATCTCAAATTTCACTTTTTATCAAATTTAATAATAATAAAAAAATCATTTCTAATATTTTATTTTTGAATTTTTTTTATCAAATTCAAATTTGATCAAAAATTTAAGGGCAAATTGCCAATGCACCTCCTCAAATTTGCTTAAAATATAATTTGCCTATATAGTTTTGAAAATTACATCCTATCATACCGCATTGAAGTTTCTAATTTTATAACAAATAATCCATTTTATTAATAAATTACCAACTCAATTAATAGTTTTTAATGATCTCAAAAATTTATTTGAATTAATAATTTAGATAATGTTATTATTATATAAGAGAGTCGTTAGAAAATTTATTTTTTAATTAATTCTATTAAATAAAAAATTACAATAAAAGAATATTTATAATTTTTCAAATTATATAGAGCAATTCGTATTTTAAATAAATTTTAAAAATAAATTTATAATTTATCCAAAATTTAATGAATTCTGTATCAATTTTGATAACAGCGGTGCTAGAGGCCTCAAATTAGAGGCTTTGAATTTGCCTCCACAACATTTTTTTTTTTGGTGGTGGCTGTGTTAGTAGTTATTTTTTTTATTTGTTTTTTTTTTAAAGGGTGGTTTATGTGTAGGAATTAAAAAATTAGACATATCATACCAACTCATCGTATAAAATTACATGAAATTAACAAAATTTAACCAACAGCCTAACTGATCAGTTAATTTTATCACTCAACCATTCCAATCTAATTGATTGATCAGTTAAGCTGTTGGTTAAATTTTGTTAATTTCATAGGCTTTGAATTTGCCTCCACAACATTTTTTTTTTTGGTGGTGGCTGTGTTAGTAGTTATTTTTTTTATTTTTATTTTTTTAAAGGGTGGTTTATGTGTAGGAATTAAAAAATTAGACATATCATACCAACTCATCGTATAAAATTACACGAAATTAACAAAATTTAACCAACAGCCTAACTGATCAGTTAATTTTATCACTCAACCATTCCAATCTAATTGATTGATCAGTTAAGCTGTTGGTTAAATTTTGTTAATTTCATATAATTTTATACGATGAGTTTGTGCGGAATTTAGTTTTTTGAAACATCTCTACACATAATCACCTTTTAAAATAAAATAAAATAAAAAAACCAAACCAACATAGCGCAACAAATAAAATAAAATTAAAAAAAAAAAACTCAGTCTATGTAATTTGATAGGGTGAGTGAGTTGGGTTAGACTTTATCAAACTATACAGACTGAGTTAGTGCGAGATGTGTAATACACATAACCACCCTTGCAAAAAAAAAAAAAAAAAAAAAAAGAAAAGATAAAAAAAATATTTAAAAAATAAAAAACCAAACACACAGCCAAAAAAAAAAAAAAAACTGAATTTCGAGGCAATTTTGAGCCCTCGAATTCGAGGCCTCAAGCATTAGTCTCTTAGGCCCCGTTTATTTTAGGCTATGGGAGGGTATTGAGACTAGTAATACCAAGGTATTACTAATGCCCTTGTTTGTTTGCAGAGATAGCATTGAGACTATTAGTCCCTTGGTATTACTAATATCCTTGGAAGGGGGATTGGTAATGAGGAGATAGAGATAGTATTAGAAAATAGTGAAGGGATTAGAAATTTTTTTTATTTTTTATATATTAGGAATTTTTTTTAAATATAATATTTAATTTTTTATATTTTTTTATTTATTTTATTATTTTACATAAAAATAATTTAACAATTTCTCATTATTAATCATCTTACTATTAATCCTCTCACTATCAATCATCTCCATTCTATCTCCCAAAAGAAACGGTCCTTAATCCCTGGATAAACATGTTCCATGAAGAAATTGAAAACTTGAATTGAAATGCTCCATCAGCAGCCCCCGAGTACACGTGGCACGCTACCCATCTATGACCGGAAGCTAACATAATCGCGCTCGCAAGCAAAAATGAAAAATGATTTGGTGCTTCTGGGAGCCACGTGTGGTGTACCTCAACAATCACGGCATCCCATAACTTAAACACAAAATTATAAAT